TTAAGAACATGAAGACAAGAACTCTGAACACTCAGAAAAAGAAACACCCTCCTCCTACACACACACACACACACACACACAGACACACACACACTTTACTTCCCCCCGCTCTATCTTTTCGCTGGACTCGTTGATCTATGAGTAAAAAATAGAGAGAGAGAAGATCCTCCCTCCATCCTCCTGAACTTTTCGTCTGCAGACAGAAGTCATCAGAGGGGCAGCCGATGTTCATTTCTGCCCAACAATTAGGAGCAGAGTGGGCTATGTGTGTGTCTGTGTGTGAGATTAATGTGGCTCTCGCCTCGGCTGCCATACTTATTTGCCATCTGCTCGTTGCGAGGATTCCGCTTGCCCCTGGGTGAGGGCGCACACTGTGACAAACATTCTAATCCAATCATATACTTACTCGCCACATACCACTATTTCAAAACACATGCGGCAAAACACACACACACATCACACCATCTAACAACACGGACACGATGCGTACGATCATGCTCTTAGCTCCAGCATAGACACATCCTCACACTCTACAGTTGTCAGCAAGTGGACATATCACGACATCCTGGAAGAATGTCAAAATATATGCATTCCACATTGTCCCCTCCGGCGCCCCGCAATATATCATACAATCAGCCTACGACTAACCGCCGCACTCCACAATTCCAGAATAGCATTAGACACGATGCAGAAGAGAGAAGACTGGGAATGGCAAATATTTTTCTCAGTGCCCAAGACAACACACACACAAATTACCATGCTTCACAAGGACTTCTTCCCTCTGTGCGTGCATATCTACGTCCAAAACACACACAGACACAATCACCCAAAATAGGAACACCACGTCTGCTACCATCCATATCATTAGAATGAGACATGATGTTTTAAATAGTCAACAGATCGAGGCTGGTCCGACACCTATAGATGAACTCTGCTGTAATCATGCGCAGGGCAGTAGGGAACTCAGAGCGCCAAGCCATTTTACTCGACTGAGGCAGTATGTAGGCTTGGCTCTCTCTCTCTCTGGTCTCGCTCGTCATTCTTTCTCTCGTGCTCTCCCAGTCTATATAGTTTCTTATCTCTCTCCCTCACTTATCCGCATCATACAATCCTGCTCTGTCCGCGTGTATAGTGCGCACTGGAGCCCTATCAGCATGTGCTGGTGTGTGTGTGCTACAGTTCACACACACCACACACTCTCTTCTCTCTACTACAAGACCTGTTTAGGTACGATAGGTAAGATAGTGAGTTACATAGTTGTGGTGTGTGTGGGTTGTGGTGGCGCGGCGTGTGTAGAGGACGAGAGAGGTGTTGTTGCTCTTCTGTGTTGAGTCGTCTACGTGTGTCTCATATTGTCTCTATCAGTTGGTTAGAGATACATGCATGCGAGATAAACTCGCGCGCGGTGGTCGGATGTGTGAGTAGATGTGTAGTAAGCTGGTGTGTGTTTTGTGGGTGATGGAGGAACGTGTAGGGGTGGATATGTGATCGCGTGGCGTGATTTCTCTGTGGCGGAGGCACGAGGAAGCGGATGGGGATGGGCGAGCGGGCGACCGCCCAGGCGGCATTTTCCATGACAGTATTGGCGCCGACCACTTAAAAAAAAAAATCCGCGCTGGTGCCGCAAAGCGTTTTGATTATTATCTTTCTATCATATCACTGTCGTGGGGGAATGGCAAATTGGGCGCCCTACAGCCTGGAAGCCGCTGCTGCAGGGAAAGTGTGGGAAAGCTGTGAGAATGAAGATTAAACAGTCACCACTGGTCCCCTAATGGGAACGAACAGAAGTGAGGCACATTGTGTGTTTCTGCACTGAAAATGTACCATTGCGACCAGTTCACTTTTGGCAAACGTATTGGTAGACCCCCACATTAATTTCATAATATAAAAATACCAGAGCCTATAGCGATCAAGTGGCCATGCTGTGTTGTTGTCTTGGGGACAGTGGTAGTATTGTGAAAAGTATGTGTGGTTGATAGAATAGCTGTCATAGGTGTTGTGGTAGTGATCGCTGATAGTAGTTGGCATATGTGTGCATGTGTTAGATGTGTGTCGTGTGTGTGTTGTAGTGTGTGTGATTCGCATGTGTGTTTGCTGTGTGTGTAGTGTGTGTAGTGTGCGCCTGCCCAGGAGGTAAGGGAATCCAACGCTAATTGATGGCACATATAAACGTATGCATGCTCGAGGCGAGAAGCACTGCATCGTATTGCTAATTCGTAATGTCAGCTGTGACTTTATATGATATTACGACTCTCATTTGTAACTCAGCACACAAGGTAATATTGTGACTAAATATTGTCTCCACCGTTTACTGAAAGACACAGAATATGAAGGAGAAGATGATGCTGCCCTTCAATGAAACTGAGTGTATAAACGAAAATAGAAGCAGTAGTACCCAAAAATTTGTTATTTATGGTTGGGTAGTGTGTTCTGTGCAAGATGTTGTGTGTGTGTGTGTGTGTATGTGAATAAAAATGGAGAAAAAGCACACATCTCTCCGCCTGTGCATCTTGTCTAGATACTTTCTTCCAAATTTCCTCTCCTCTCTGCTTCTCAGTCTCTCTGTTCTGTCTTACATCACACAGGTTTGAGTATGACCTACTGGTCATGTGTTCCCCATTTTACAGTGGAATGTTAGTGTGGGCTCTCGTGATAGTAGTGGACCGCTCGTCGC